TGGAACCTACCTAAAATATTTTTTTAAATGATAGAATTTCAAAAACAGAAGCATATTCACAGAAAAAAGGACAGAGCAAATGTTTGTCAATGGTTTGCCCACAAGGCAAGCAGCTCTTTGTGATATAAAAAGTTAATCTCTAGTATTAACTCTCTTTGGGGGGGGCGCATGGGTGGCTCAGTCGTTTTCAGCTCAGGTCGTGATCCCAGGGCCCTGGGATCTCGCAACAGGCTCCCTGCTCTGTGGGAAGTCTTCTTCTTCCTCTCCCACTCCCAGGCGGCTCAACTGGTTAGGTGACTGCCTTTGGCTCAGGAGTCCCAGGATCAAGTCCCACAGCTGGCTCCCCACTCAGTGGGGAGTTTGCTTCTCCCTCAGACCCTCTCCCCTGAAATGCTCTCTCTCACACACGCACTCTCCCGCTCTCAAATGGATGAATAAAATCTTCTTTACAAAAACAAACTATTGTCACTTTGAATTGAAGTCCTGCAAGTATTGAAAATATCCCCTTGATATTTTAGGGGAAGGTGTTGAGTCCAAGATTCCTGTTGCTGCTGGGGTCAGGTCCTTGGCTATTAGTTAAGGAAAACATTTCTCATTTAGGCCCCATCTGGATGTTTTATCAGCTCTGTGTAGCCCAGGAGTAAGAAAATGCACAAATAGGGGCGCCTGGGTGGCTCAGTCGTTAAGCGTCTGCCTTCGGCTCAGGTCATGGTCCCAGGGTCCTGGGCTCCCTGCGCAGCGGGGAGCCTGCTTCTCCCTCTCCCACTCCCCCTGCTTGTGTTCCCTCTCTCGCTGTGTCTCTCTCTGTCAAACAAATAAATAAAATCTTTAAAAAAAAAAAAAAGAAAGAAAAGAAAATGCACAAATAAACCCAATAGATATAAGGCCCAGAATACCTTGGAAAATTCCTTTTTTTTTGGATAGTTCTTGAAAAGAAGAAGAGTCTTGCTTTTTAGAATGTGAAAAAGATACTCTACTTAAAATATACTACATATTACAGGACATGGAAAATGTATGTGATTGAATTTTGTATATATCCACTGTGTTCTCATAATTCCATTTATAATCTGATTTACTATTTGGAGGCCACAAGAACAGAGGAGTGATAATATGTCCTTCAGTGTGCCTTATGCACTGATATCAATTTGTTTCTGTGCAGCTGGTAATATCTTCTTTTACTTGGGTTGGTTCTCTCTACCAGATTTCTCCCCTATAAGCTTCATATTTTCCCTCTTATTATTCATAAAGATCCTAGGTGGATTTACTGAATGATGTGCAGAAACTATCATATTTAAACTGGAAACTTTCTTCGGAGTTTCTCTTGCTTGTTGTTTCTGATCAGGAGAACAAAAGCAAAAGAAATGTAGATAAAATTAAATTGCCTTCAATTTGCAGCCCATTGATAAATACTTGAGCCAGGAAGAGCATGACATTCCTCAATGAATTCAAAACTGCCTCAAAGTTAATGTTTTGCTGGAGGTAAAAAGCAACCTTAGCTCGACATTAGCCAACCTCCAGGATCCTACAGGTTCTCTTTAACATATGAAAATACTTTTGGAAACTTCCTTTATCTCTATCCCCCCCAACTTAAAAGTATTTTATCAATTACTTCTTACAAGGACAGTGGAAGTCTTTCTATCCATGAGTCATGCCCCCACGCTTTATATAAAACAGATTTTTGCACTGGAAACTTCTTAAGAGTACTTTCTTGAATCTCGGCTCCCAGCCCACATCACATCAGTTTCCTCTAGACAATGAGGGGTTTACCTTCATATACTAAAGATACTGACTAATGGGAGTGGAGGTTCTAAATCAGAACTCCATCTTGTAAGTTTTTATTTTACTCCACACTCAGATCACAGAAATACCCTTCTATTAACTGATGTGGAAAACAAAGGCAGAAGAAAAATTATTACATTTCCTTACTACCTACAGCCCATTGACAAGTCCTTGAACCAGGCAGAGTGACATTCCTCTAGGGATTCAACCGTCTTGATATTGATACTTTGCTAAGGGAAAAAGGCAACCTTAGCCCGACCCCCAGGGTCCTGGAAGTCTACTTTAACACCTAAAAATTCCTTTGGAAACTTCCTTTCTCTCTACCCCCCGAGATACATGTTGGTAATCATCCCCCAAGCATATGACTGACTGCTATACATCTAAAGGGTCTCATGACTGAGGGTTCACTAGGCAGTAACAAATGACCTTTTCCCAGCAATAGCTAGCCCCCTCAGGATCCTGTTAAACCTTGTTCCCAAAATACCTGTAAGGCTTACACTATCCCTAAACCCCTCAAAAGTTTAAAGTATATATTGGGCCACTGCTCCTGACCCCAGCACAGCTCTGTCTGCCCACGGGTCCTGTCACTGTGCTTTCATAAAACCACCTTTTTGCACCAAAGATGTCTCAAGAATTCTTTCTTGCCTTTGGCTTCAAACCCAAACATCTTTATTACATCATTAACTTCTTTATATTTACAGAAAAAGAAAACAAGAATCAGGGGCACCTGGGTGGGTCAGTCCTTGGGTGGCTCAGTCGTTGGGCATCTGCCTTCGGCTCAGGTCATGGTCCCGGGGTCCTGGGATCCAGCCCCGCATCGGGCTCCCTGCTCCGCGGGAAGCCTGCTTCTCCCTCTCCCTCTCCCCCTGCTTGTGTTCCTGCTCTCGCTGTGTGTCTCTGTCAAATAGATAAATAAAATCTTTAAAAAATTAAAACAGACAAGAATCCCATAATTAAGATGTTTGAGTGTGTTAAAATCCTGAACTTTAATACAGTCATAGATAGAAGCTACACCAGGTGGGGTTGTCACCCAAAGGAAACTTGATGTGCAGCAAATAAGGAAGTCACAGGGAATAAACTTCCCAAGCTGAGACTCACAGAGCAAGGGGGAATGGCTTCCTTATTTTAGTGTTGACGGTGGATATTGATGTAGAGCTGGGCATAGGGTGCATGTGCACCTGAAGACAATAGTTCTATACATACGATGTATATTATGTAAATGAGGTTTGTTTTCTTCCGTAGATGGAGATTTTAGTATTATGAGATAAAGTTAAGTGTTGGTCACTCCATGGGTTACTCCTTGTTCCATCTGTTTGTTAGGGGTTAAGCTCAAACCGGGTCTGTTCAAGCTCTTCCTCAGAAAGACATTATCATTTTTTTTTTAAGATTTTATTTATTTATTTAACAGAGACACAGCAAGAGAGGGAAACAAGGAGGGGGAGGGGGAGGGGGAGGGGGAGGGGGAGAAGCAGGCTTCCCGCGGAGCAGGGACCCTGGGACCATGACCTGAGCCAAAGGCAGACGCTTAAGGGCTCAGCCACCCAGGCGCCCCAAGGTAGACATTATCTTTTGTTCTATTGTTTTGTTTCCATTACAGGAGACTACACCATTGTGATATTTTGCCTGAAGAAAAGGTGAATAGAAGAGGTTGAGTAAAATGTGGGACAAAGGTCGGAGGGTACAAGCAGGTAACTGGGGAAGGTCAGGTCTTGGGTCTAGCTGGTGACATTAACTCCCTCTTTCGTCTTAGGGACCATTGTGAACTCTGCCAATGGCCACTTGGTCACTGTGGTATTTATTGCAGGGACTGTTGACATTCAGGGATGTGGCCATGGCGTTCTCCCAGGAGGAGTGGGGATGCCTGAACCACACTCAGCGGGAACTGTACAGGGATGTGATGTTAGAGAACTACGGACACCTCCTCTTCCTGGGTGAGGATGACTCCTTCCAGATTTCCCAGACCACACTCAGGGTTTTGTTCCTTCCCTTGAAGACTGTCTCTTGAAGGATTCCTCTTTGAATGACTGGAATTCAGATCACTGCACTAAGGGAAGTAAGTAGTGTTTTGGAGACGTAGAGAAAAATCTTCATGGTATTTCCTTTTTAGCTTTAGCTTCCCTTTCCTTAAGGTAACCTCATCACTTCTGTAGATGAGTGGTAATTCTAAACACTGAGTGGCATAAAATGGTACTGCTCACATCCTCTACTACTCCAATTTCCACTCATTATTGTATCTAGTACTTGGAATGGAGGTCAGGATGTGAACATTGGATGTCCCTCTTGCATGTTCAAAAGGGCTATTGGTCAACAGCATTTGGGAAGTCATTTTCTAGAATTCTACAATGTCCTCTCTTCTCTACTGAGCACAATCCTGGATTAAAAGTTAGAATCCCGGGGCGCCTGGGTGGCTCAGTCGTTAAGCGTCTGCCTTCGGCTCAGGTCATGACCCCAGCGTCCTGGGATCGAGCCCCGCATCAGGCTCCCTGCTCGGCAGGAAGCCTGCTTCTCCCTCACCCCCTCCCCTGCTTGTGTTCCCTCTCTCGCTGTGTCTCTCTCTATGAAATAAATAAAAAAATAAAAATAAATGAAAAAGAAGTTAGAATCCCTAGCAATATTCCAATTCCTTTTTTCTAATAAACAGGTTTCATTGTGTGGAATCATCTGGTCATTGTGTCGACAGATCTGGTCATCTTTGTGGAACAAAAGAATGCACATTGGGATGTGAAGACAGTAGCCATCCAGTTGGGTAGGTGGGAATGACTGAAGGAGATGACAGAGGAGGGGTCCAAATTTGAAGGAGCAATAGAGACCTGAAACTATAGTTTGGGCAGTTCTCCTTGATTCGAAATTAGTTTGAGAAGCTTAGTTTTGTTTCTGTGCCTCTCACAGTGGGATATCTGCTATCCTATGTTACCAAGTTCTTACATTCGCTAAGAATTCTGCTTCAGCTCCAGTGATGGTCCATCACATCCACAAGGAGGGCCATAGACTCTCCTGGGAGTGGGAAGGCCCCCATAATCTAAGAGCTTCTCCGTTGCTTTGAGGGCCCTGGGGAAATCTCCCTATTTTTGAGGATCTCTATGCTAAGCCCTTTGTTAAGTTCTGTTTTGTCTCATGTTAGAAGTGTGTCAGGGTAGTGGTAGACATATTGGGGTTTGGTGCAGAAATCCTGGGAACACTGGAGATAGATATCCCATGTTTCTGGTTTCTGGTTTCCAATATTATGGGATCTTTAATCTTAATTGTACAAAATTGAGACTTAGTAACCATCAGATAACAAAGCACTTTCCTAAAATGAGAAAATCTAAGCCTTTATTTCCCTTCAAGAGTTCATTTTTCTTTGTATTAACTAAAATAAGAAATTTCCATTCTATGTGTTCCATTCCTCAATGGTGAAACAATGTAATGTATCTATTTGTATCCTAGAATTCCTACATGAATTAATGGCATAGGGGAGCTAAAACATTTAGAACTTAGAACTTGCAGCCTACAATAAAGTCTCACTTGTTACCTTATTGATTAATAATTGCGTCATTTTATAATTTTGTCTTCTTTGATACGAAGTTCTTGTGTCTTTGTCATGTATCTTTTCACTTTCTTACTAGTTATGTAGCAGATTCATCTCTGATTTTTTAGATCAAAAGGTCTTACATAACATGGGCTTGTGCTTTATCGAAGAGGAAAATTACCCAGAGCAGGCCCAGGCCGGCAGGCCCCGGTAGATGAAAAGTTGCTAGAAAGAGCAAGAGATAACCAGAAGCCCCACCGTAAACAGGTTTCCCGCTGCAAGCCCCCTGCACCGCTCTAACTACTGTTCCTGCCTAAAGCAGTCCCCCGCTCCGGGAGTTTAAACCCACCTACCAGCAGTCAGCATAGCCCTTGGAACCTGACCACCCCCCCCGTGCACTCCCCTGTAACAACCCTGTAACCCCACTACCCGGGGCCCAGAATTTCGAGTGCAAGCTGGTCTGGGTCCACTGGCATAAAATAAACCCAAGTTCTACTTCTCCATGTGTCGCTTGGTTTCTCACTAGTCTGATTATTTTTCGCAACATTTCAAGAAGTGAGGTAGATAATTACCAAAATTCCTATAGTGAAAAAAAAAAAAGCTGGGGCACCTGGGTGGCTTAGCTGAGTGGCTGCCTTTGGCTCGGGTCATGATCTCAGAGTTCTGGGATCAAGCCCAGCATCCGGCTCCCTGCTAAGCAGGGAGCCTACTTCTCCCTCTGCCTGCTTCTTCCCCTGCTTATGTTCTCTCCCTCTTTGACAAATAAATAAAATCTTAAAAAAAAAAAAAAGTTTTGTTTGCATGTGTAATTTTATATCAGGAATAATTAATCAGTAAGTTTTTCTTCTAGTTATTCAGAATGTATCTGAGTTTAATTCTAAATGCGTTGTAGAAAGTGTCGGCATATTTTACAAGTTTGATGGTGTTTATTTAGAAATGAATAGTTTTGTTTGTACAGTTGGTTGTAAAGAATGTATTATACCTTTACATTGTGTGGAAGAAGAATATATTAATAACATAATACATTTTTTACTGTCTTTTAAGTGCTTATTCATAAAATTTTTCATTAGAGCTTTCTATGTTTGATTTTTTTTAAGATTTTATTTATTTATTTGAGAGAGAGAGAATGAGAGAGAGAGAGAGAGCATGAGAGGGGGGAGGGTCAGAGGGAGAAGCAAACTCCCCGCCTAGCAGGGAGCCCGATGCGGGACTCGATCCTGGGACTCCAGGATCATGACCTGAGCCGAAGGCAGTCGCTTAACCAACTGAGCCACCCAGGCGCCCCTATGTTTGATTTTAATGAGTATTCTTTACAAATTTACTGTCCATGAAGACATGCCAATAATTCAAAAGGCTAGCTTTTCATAGGTACATATAGTTTAGAGTTGTATTTATATGGGTTTCCTTTTAAGACTTCATCTATTTTTGGGGCACCTGGGTGGCTCAGATGGTTAAGCGTCTGCCTTCAGCTCAGGTCATGATCCCAGGGTCCTGGGATCGAGTCCCGCATCAGGCTGCCTGCTCCGCGGGAAGCCTGCTTCTCCCTCTGCCTCTCTCTCTCTCCCTCTCTCTCTCTGACTCTCATGAATAAATAAATAAAACATTTAAAAAAAAACGACTTCATCTATTTTTTATGTGAATTTTTTGAGTTAGATTTTGAAATTCCATAATAATGTGCTTCCTTTTATATGGGACCTTCCACAATATTATTTAGTTGTGGTATTGTTTTTACCTGTGTATTTTATTATAGGATGACCATTTTTAACTCAGTAGATTTTAAGACCTTGAGAATTTAAATCAAATATGAACCAGGGGGCGCCTGGGTGGCTCAGTTGGTTAAGCGACTGCCTTCGGCTCAGGTCATGATCCTGGAGTCCCGGGTTCGAGTCCCACATCGGGCTCCCTGCTCAGTGGGGAGTCTGCTTCTCCCTCTGACCTCTCCCCTCTCATGCTCTCTCTCTCATTCTCTCACTCTCTCAAATAAATAAATAAAATCTTAAAAAAATATACAAACCAGCTTTAGGCCTTTACCAATAAAATTATGTATGCATTTGTGTGTATAAATGTCAGTGGTACATACTTTGATTCTCCTATTGCTTATTTCTTTCCTTGATCAGTGTTCAGTGTATGTTGTATCATGTCTAGGTAAGTTGTCATAATAATAGAATTAGTTTTGGGGCACCTGAGTGGCTCAGCCATTGGGTGTCTGCCTTCGGCTCCGGTCATGATCTCAGGGTCCTGGGATCGAGCCCCGCATCGGGCTCCCTGCTCCGTGGGAAGCCTGCTTCTCCCTCTCGCACTCCCCCTGCTTGTGTTCCCTCTCTCTGTCAAATAAATAAATAAATAAATAAAATCTTAAAAAAAAATAGAATTAGTTTCATCTGTTGGTGAATTTATATTCTCTTTGAATGAGAGAAAGACTCTTTGAATGGAAAGTAATTTTTACACATTTTATACCTCTGTATCAAGTTTAGGTATCATATTTTATCATTAATTGTGGTGTTATACCCATGATATACCTGATACCATTCTCATTAACTTTTGTGTCTTCTGTGAGTATTTTCATTGTGATTACCTTAAAGATTCCTTAAAACACCTTAAAGGTATAAAGAAAACTTTATTTATTTATTTATTAACGATTTTATTTATTTGACACAGCGAGAGAGGGAACACAAGCAGGGGGAGTGGGAGAGGGAGAAGCAGGCTTCCCGCTGAGCAGGGAGATCGATGCGGGGCTCGATCCCAGGACCCTGAGATCATGACCTGAGCCGAAGACAGACACTTAACCACTGAGCCACCCAGGCGCCCCCCAATGGAATATATTCAAGCAAAGTTTATTGTTACCAGGAACATTTGGCTGATGTATTTTTTAACATCTTTTTTTTCTTTTTAAGAGAGAGTGAGAGATCACATGGAGGGTGGGGCAGAAAAAAAGGGAGAAAGAAAATCCCAAACAGACTCCCTGCTGAGTGCTCAGCCCAGGGAGACTGGATCTTAAGACCCTGAGATCATGACCGGAACTGAAACCAAGAGTCAGATGCTTAACTGAGTATGCCACTAGGCGCCCTGAGGTTTTTGTTTTTAAAGTCAAGTCACATGCAGATCATAAGTGAACAGTTGAATGATATTTCACAAACTGATCACATCTCTATAAGCCACTGAGATCAAGAAACAGAATATTGTTTGTCCTCTAAAATTCCCCTTGAGCTCCTCAGTAATTTTCCCCAAAGCTCAGCACTCCTTTAACATGTAAGGCAAGAGATTGCTGTGCTAACTTTTGTACTTTATATTAATGTAATCATACAATGGGAACTCTTTTGGATTTGGCTTCTTTTCTTTCCATCTATTGTTTGTGAATTAATTTTTTTTTAATTTTTTTAAAGATTTTATTTATTTGACAGAGAGAGATACAGTGAGAGAGGGAACACAAGCAGGGGAAGTGGGAGAGGGAGAAGCAAGCTTCCCGCTGGGCAGGGACCCCGATGCGGGGCTCCATCCCAGGACCCTGGGATCACGACCTGAGCCGAAGGCAGACGCTTAACGACTGAGCCACCCAGGCGCCCCTGTGACTTTATTTTATTCCTGCATGTTATTGTGTATCATTCATTAGAATGGGTCGATCTGATTACATTGTGTGAATATCAAGTGATTGCATCACTCTGCTGTTAATGGGAGGGCGATGGTTCTCAGTGTAGGACTGTCATGAATAGTACTGGCATGTAAAATCTATAATTTATGTTTTAGTGGAACACGCACACAAGTCCGCTGGCTATATATGTGTCACCAAATTGTTGGTAAATATTTTTAGATATGTTCAGCTTTTAGAGATACTACCAAACACTTTGCCAAAATTTGTACCAATTTTCCCACCCACCAGTAGTGTTTGGGATTTTTGGCTTATCCACAGACTTTCCAAAACTTTGTAGTTTATGTCATCTTCATGTTAGGCACTTGGTTAGTATATGATGTTACCAAGTCACGGGTTTGTTTGCTTTTTTGTTGTTGTTACTTCCTGTTGCTATGGTGTTGGCCATTAACCTTTTGGATAATCTCCTTTTCAGAGTGTCTACTAATTGTGTGCATTTTTTCTGTTTTATCTTTTTCTTCAGGGTTTATAGTTCTGTATGTTTGGTGAGAATTAGTTCTTTGTCTCCTCTCTCAGTCTACCTGTGTTTCTATCTCTTGAGCTTGTGATTCAGAGAACTTTTTTTTTTTAAACATTTTTAAAAATGTTTACT